TTCAGGGTCTCTGGTTCAATCCTGAGCTTGACTTATTCTCTGTGCAGAGTTTTGCGTGTTTTTCCTGTGTCTATGTGGGGTTCCTCTGGGTTCTCCAGTTTCCTCCTACATACCAAAAACATGCCAGTAGGTGGACTGGCTAAGATAAATTGCCCCTAGGTGTGAATGAGTGCGTGCACGTGTATGTATAGTGCTCTGTAATGGTTACTGAATGTGAGTGGGTGGTTCATACAGACAGTGATTCATACATACAAGCTTAACAAAGTAATGTGTTCAGAATTATAAATACACTACATTCATCTATACAGTAATTATAGTGTATGCAAGTGTTTAGTATCAGTAAACAAATCAAATTATCCAATTATGTCTTCATGTTGCAAAATACTGTAAGCAAAAAGATGTGTTTTATCTGTCCATCTTTCCATAACTAATGTCTGCACATTCCCGGTTTCTTATTTATATTTCATGATGTTCTTTGTTGTGAGATGAGCATTATTATTATTATTATTATTATTATTATTATTATTATAATGCATGCAGGCACCCCACTGAGTCCCTCTGTGTGCTGCAGCAGTACTTATGAAAGCAGATGACAGATATCATCTTGTCCCAGGTCTACTCATAAAACCAGAGCTGTAGTCCATACTTTCCTGGAATTTCACCATGTCCCCCAATGTGCTGCTCTACCATCCACCATTAGTTCACCAGTCAGGTCTATTTCACAAACAAACTAATATTGAAGAAGAAACTATACTAAAATGGCAAATCAATCTCTGCACAATTACTAGCCAAGATGAAATTTCTGCATGGAATAGCACCGTCTTTACCCAGCTTACATCTCTCCCTCATATTATTACTCTACACTATCAACAGCTGAGTGCTGCACTGCTCAGCACAAATTCACCTCCAAAATTACTATGTTGAGTTTATTGCCTTTCTGCTCTCAGCAAAAGATTGGCTGGCTCAAAATAGGCTGAAAAATACAGCCTTCTGTGACTACAGGTGTTTAAAAAAAAAAAAAAACACCACCGTTTTGGTCAAAAGTTGATTATATGCACACTTTTTACAGTGAGGCTGTAAGTCGTACTTTGAAATATTAACATATTGATCTTCGCCAAATGTATATAAATATATACACATATAAATAAGTATACAAACATAAATATAAATGTTACGTGATAAAAATATAAAGTACACTGCTATTTCACATTTTCAAGAATTCATCTTTAGCTACAGGTGACTGCAGTGCTTTAAATCAATATTTCAATGGACCTGCAACCATGACAATCATGTTCCTGCTTAACTTTTTTTTTTTTTTTTTTTTAAATGCCTCCACCACTCACTGTTCATTCTGTTTTGGGGTTGCCAATCCATCCGATCATTAAATTTTTTTTTTTCTGAGATTCGAGATTGTCATTAGCCTGATATCTCAAGAACGAGTGACTGAATGTTTGTAGGATTTATTTGGAATTATTACTGTAACCAGCAGATGAACTGATTTAGAGTTTGGAATTGAGCCAAACAGGGTCAAGGTCACAGCAAGGTCAAATTTCTGAAATAGTTTTTCTTTAATAGCTTCCTTCCTGTTTGAAGTATATTTTAAGGGTATTTCTGGCATGCAAATTAGTAACAAGAAGGAAGACTTGGCAGCGGCATCCCCATCGACACCACTGGCATCGGGTTCTACTTGTTCTCTTCCTGTTCTTTTCTTATCTTTTTCTCTCCTTTTCTTAGGGGTTGCTTTTCTAATCCAAAAAATATAATTTTATATATGGCTAACAAAGTCCTTATTATTGTCCTCCAAACGTGTGAGTTGTCCTCCAAACAGGTGGTGGGTTTTTAAAAAAAAAAAAAAAAAAAAAAAAAAGAAAGAAAGAAAGAAAAAAGAAATTATGTTCAAAAGATGTTCAAGCCTGAAATATACAGTATGTTAGAGATTAAGTGCCCTTTAAAACAGTGTTACTGCTTCCTTTATCCAATATCAGGTGGGGTTTCACCTTGAGTAAACACTATTCACAGATCTGGGTTCCCGCTTTGCGTTAACTGTGCACATTTCCCCACCACAATAAGCCATACGCAGTTGGTGAAGGTGATAGAGAGCCAGGAGTATTTGAGTCTTCATCACCACTGAATAATTCAGCACACATTGTGGCACAAAGAACCATAAACTGCATGCAGAGAGAGAATCAGGTAGCAGGGGAGTAAAAGAACAAACAGGACGCAGAATATGTCTTAAATCATTTGCTTCTGAATGGAGCTTTGTAGTACTTTCCATAATGTGCAGAACTTATGCTTCTCGCATAGGGTGCATGCGATAACATTTTTTTTTTTTTTTAGATCCTTCACATCTATATAAAGATCCTTCAGATCCTTCACATCTATATAAATTACATTTTCATTCTACATTTCTGGTAGTTGCGCAACACATTAGTGCTTTTGTATGTCAGTGTTTGCACATAGCTTTATAGCAATATATACAGTGGATATAAAATGTCTACACATTCCTGTTAAATCTGCGGTTTTTTTGATGTGTAAAAAAAAAAAAAAAAAACGAAACCAGGATAAAATCATGTCAGATCTTTTTCCACCTTTAATGTAATATAGCCACCAACAAAATTTAAATTAAAACAAACAGAAACAAAGAAGAATATAAACATTTTGGAATGGCTCAGTCAGAGTACAGATCTAAATCCTATCCAAAGGTTGTGGAGTGACGAAGGATGCGGTGAACATGAGATCCCACTCGCAATTGGATAGATCTGGAGCATTTTTGCAAATAAGGGTGGAATAAAATGACCAAATCAAGATAAGTGCTAAGTTGGTAGACTCTTACCCAAAAAAGACAGAGTACTATAGTACAAGCAAAATAACAAAGTATTAGTTAAGTGGTGTGAAAAGTTTTTTTCTTTTTTCCCCTAAAACGTTTCTATTTGTTTTTCACTTGAATTTTGTGGGTTGCTCAATAATGGTGGGAAAGCGCTGATATGATTTATCTTGTTTTTTGTTAACAGTGGTATGTAGACTTTTATATCCATTGTAATTAACTTCAGTTCACTCTTAGAGATTATGTTTTCTACATTAAAACCTGAACCATGAGGCAGATGGAGTCTGACGGTTGACATTTTACTGGATTGTCGTTACTGTATTGACTTAGAAAATGAAAGATATCCGGTATTCCACAAACCCTGACACGTCTTTATAATCCATCACCTGAAACTAGTAACACATGCGTTGAACTGCAGGTTTAGTGGTGGCACAACAAAGAGAGAATCCCAACAGAGCTTTGAGGTGGGCTTGAATTCACTCTTCGAAGCCGATGCCCACATCGCCTGCAGAGCATATGGGTTAGACAGGTTACATCTGAATTCACAGCCAGGCCTGCTTTCAGGAGATTTAGCTGCTGTGGCTAATGCAACACTCTCCATGCTTTAATTTATCATCCTCTGAGTAGAGGCTTCACCTATTTAGCTACCTCAGCC